CCAAATTAAAACTAAACATGCTAACATATGCATATAAACAAATACTTCAGAAGTACTCCAAGCTACAAAGCGAATCTAGGGATGTTGTGCATCCCAAAACATAGTTTCCTTACTTGAAAAATATCCCAAAAATGAGGGTGAGCAACCAAAGTTACTCGTAGGAAGATGCATATGTGTATACCCTAAAGTTTCAACATACCTTTGCAACGTAATATAAATCAATACATGTGGTTCATGCTTCCTAACGTCTATGTTCAATGGGAGAACTAAGGAATCATCCTAAGCTATCATCGAAGCAATTTAAAAACAAATCAAAATAGGCAAACAATCCATCATAATGGCAATATTCTATAAGACATAACAAGTTACAACCCTAGGTTATATCAACTTATGATATAACACAAATGGTTACATGTGGTGCATACCAACTAACGTCTATGTCTAAAATGAGCCTATAGGATCATTCATAAGCTACATTAGAACCATTCAACATAAACCACAATATTTATGCAAATAAACAACATTGGAACATCCAACACATCGCAACAAGTTATAAGTTCTCAAAGTTATCAAGTTGAAATTTAAAATGCGAAATCAATCAAAAGTGGAAATACTTGGACATCAAATCGGATCAGACCGACACATAGTGATTTTAGGGTTACTAGCCCTCCAGTTACTAACCAAGTGCGCACAGGTGGGGAGAACTCGTACCTCCAGTATTAAAGCCTTACTCTAACCATAGTTAAGACAAATGGCGTCCCAAGTTTTCAAAATCAACAAATTGTGCAACAAATATATATACATAGATACCGAAAGCACTTAACCAATTACCATGCATAATCAAAGTTTGGAAACACACAAGTTATGCCTAAGTCCTCAAACTATATGGCATACATAATGTCAAGTCTTTACTATGATGCAATGTCTCCATGGTAAACTTTAAACACCAATTCCACAACATTGTAGCAACGAGTTTACAAGGCGAATAATATCAATAATTCACAATAATTCCATGTTACTATACATAGTAGCAAGTTAGCAATTTAACTCCAAATGATGCGCAACAAGCATTCCATATTCATAATACTATGAAATCACAAGAATTTAGTAATTTACTAAATTAAATAACTTCTCTACACAAGTTATATATATATTATTAATATATGAAATCATTTCAAGTTAATATAGAATAAGCTCCAATTCTATAAATTTAACCACAACATAGTGTTAATTACTCAATTAAATTATTAACAATAATTTACTAAAATCACCAAAGTTACATTAACATAATCACATGATTTCAAGTCATCACCAAATGAATCAAAGTAACCTAAATACTAGGTGACCAATATAGAGATTTTAATCATGCTCACATGGTACTCATTAAATCCCCAAATTACAATGACATAATCAAATCTCACAATGCAATTAGGAACAATAAATATACAAGAATATCATGGTAACAACTATAAGTCTACACATGAAATTCCAAATTTCACTAAGTATAACTACAATTATACAAGTGAGCAAACACATAAAGCCTTGTGCAAAGTGACACCCTAGGTTAGATACAATCAAAATATATCTAATATAATCCTAGAACATCAATTTACATGTATAAAATTTATATCACAATAAGGGAAACAAGAAACCAAAGTAAGAGTATAAACATAGTACAACCCCTACCTCACTAGAGGATTGTCCCTCTAGAATCTGAGGCAAACAAGCTTAAAATGCAAAACTAAAAAACAAACTTCTAGATCATGAAGAGAGGAAGCTATGATCTTCAATGTTAGAGACCCAATTCCTCAAACAAAGAGGTCGAATTTCAAAAATGGCAAAACGGCTCCCAGGATTCCCTAAACTGGCAAACCAAGATTCACCCCTCTAGAATCCCATGCAAACAAAGTCAAAATGGAAAACTGGAAAAAGGTGTTCTAGATCAAAAAGAGAGGAAGTTATGATCTTCAAGGCATCGAACTCTCAAGGCAAGGGCTTCAAAAACTGAAAGTAGCAAAGAAGTTTTCCGGATTCCTCAAACTGCCTACATGAGATTCACCCCTCTAGAATCCAAGGCAAACAACCTCCAATGGCGAAACTGAGAAAATATGTTCTAGATCAAGAATAGAGGAAGTTATGATCGTCAAGTCCTAAGATTAAAATCCCACAGCAAAGGCTTCAAAATCCGAAAGTGGCAATTCAGCTCCTATTTTGCTAAAATGGGGCTTAGATGAGGGTTTCAACAATTCTCTAACTTTCCCACTAACTCTCTAACCACACACACACCAACACTACCTCTTTCTCACACATACATCCACACCCTCCACTTGTCATCCATCTTGGCCTCCCCTCCTCACAAGGTTTGATCGAGGCCTTACACTTGTCACCATCCTAGGCTTCTAAGTGTAACCAATGAAAAGTCAACACATGGTCCAATGGGAGAGTGTCATTTGTCACTCTTTCCCCAATTTCAACTTAGTCCTTCTTCTAAAAATCTAGCAAAAGAAATTGCACAAAAGTCCCTAAGAAAAAATATCTCAAAAACATAATTACACAGAACACCCCGAAAAATGAAAAGGTTTCTGAAAAAACTATGCATCCATACTCCTACAAAATAGAAATTTACAAACATGTTTTTCATATAAAATAAAGACATACGCGACTAGTAATAGACAAAATAACTTAATGCACGTGGTGCCGGAAATCATTTTCGAGCACCGAAACCTACTCCGGGTCAGACAAAACCCTTAGGTCACAAGAAAAAAGATTAAATCAAATGATTAAATAATTAAATAAAAAAAATTTACTGACAAAAAATCGAAAAAGGAGGAAAAGACAGGATCATTACAACCTTCCCACCTTAAAGGGGTTTCGTCCCCGAAATTTGGCCTTGACAAAACAAAAGGCCAACCTTAGATAACTATGTAGTACATCTCCAAGTGTCCAACATAACATGCCACATTGGCAATCCCAAAACTGAAAGAAAACACAAAAGCAAATGTCACTTACACTGACGTGCTCATGACATAACACACAAAACAACGTCTGTGAAAAGAAAATTGTCCCGTACCAATTTCATTTGCACCCATGTGCTTATGACAAAACACTCTCAAAGAAAGATGACCATACGGACACACCACGTGTCGAAACTCAAACACCGAACACACGATTACATTAAGGAACAGATCATTAGGTACAAAAGGATAACTCCAAAAGCCTCGAGATTAAACAAAAGAATAAGGAATCGCCGAACTAAGAGATACATTACCAATTAAACCAGCACATGAATCCAAGACAATGACACATCGACACAAGGTACCTAAAAAAAAACAACGTGGTAGAATGAATAGCGACTAGAACCCGCCCATAACGTACTTAAATGTATGGTGGCATGACAGTGTCTAGAGCTTACCCACACTTGCTTATCAATAAGGTAGTAATGATTACAACTAGCACCCGCCCACGACACACAACTTCGTACGGTAGCATGACAGTATACAACCCTAGTTCATTACATGCCCTTACTAAATCTACTCATAAAACCATTTGATACAAATGACATCAATGCCACAAAACAAACATTGCCAAAAGCATTGTGGTAACCAGACATCCTGTGAGAGTTGGGGTATGGTCCAAAGACGTACAGCCGGACCATCTCAGCCAATCCCAAAACTCTGACAACAATGTCACAGGCATCGTTACGCTTAAGGCCCTAAATCCTCAACACGAAGAAAACTGACAACTTCAAAATCATAGAATTTCTAAGTCAAATTTCTTTAATCAAATCATGGACTCCTCAAAACACCACTATCAACAACCCTCAAACGGTAATGGATCGTACTCCACGAAATCATAAAGGCAACAATATCTTCTAAAATGGCTCATAACCCAAATTTCTAAAGAAGCCATCGACTATCACAAAACCGTGCTAGACACCATCCTGAGACAGATCCACCAAAAGGCAATGCACCTAAATCACAAAAGAATATTTCAGAACATCCATTGAGAGTCAACTGTATCCAAGTCTCCAAAACCTGAAACAAGTCTCCAAAAGACATCCTAAAGAAACATAGGCTTTGCTTGGATTGCATTTCAAAGAACTGTTCTCATACAGTTCTCAAGAATAGTTCTCAGAGAACAATTTTCAGTTTTTTCAGATTTCAAACCTACTAGGTTAAGAGAATTTACAAAACAGTTTCCGGACAACAAAAACTCATAAAACTACTTGGTTGTATAAGTTTTTGAAAATAGTTTTCTGAACTAAGAAAATAAATAAAAATATTATTGTACCTCATTTTTTTATTTCTTTAATTTATGATATTAATTATTAATGTAAATAAGTGTTGGAGGTAAATTCATTTTAGCTAGTATTCTTAACTTAATAACAGTTACACAAATACATATATCAAGTTTAATTACTGTCCTCTTTCTGCATAACTCCAAAATGGAGGTTCTGTTTGGTGCTTGGGAGCAAGCTGGCATCCAAATATCTCTGTGAAGTCATTGAAGCGTCCTTTTGGAGTTATGCAGAAAGAGGATTTTGGAGTCCAAGTTTTGAAGTTTTGGTTAGTGCTACTGTGCAAGCTGGTGTTAAAGACATTGTTGTGTCATTTTGAATTATATTATCCTTAAGATAAGGACTTTTGTTTGTATGGTTGTATTTTGTTTCCCCTTCATGGGACTCCATGTACATTCTTCCTAAATTTAAATACAATAAAAGAGTTACATGAAAAATTATAAATTAAACATAATAAAAGGTACACCAAAACAAAGTTTTCATAACATAAAACATAATAAATTGTCCCCTACACGAATATAACATAAAGTCACATGAATAGGAAAAAAAAAAAAAAAAAAAAAAACAAAATAAGGCATAAGGAAATTGTTCAATAACACATAAAACCAAATATGTGTTTCAAGTCACATGCAACCAAAAACTAAACCCTGCATTCAGTAACCACATAAGTCAGTCCAAGCTCTTCAACCAAGCAAACTTCAAGTCAGTCCAAGCTCTTCAACCAAGCAAACTTCTTGGAAATGCTCATCTTAATGAATAATTCTCTATAGTGCAATTCCTTAAACTTTTCAGTTGCCTTCAAATATGTGTCATCTTCTATCTCATCAAGACCCTCAAGGCATTCAATACAATTACTTGGAGAGTATGCGTCTGGGCTAGTTGCCTTTTGAGTATGTTTCATTTTCTTGTATGTCTCCGCCTTAGCTAATGAAGCTTTAGTCCTTGCTTTGGAAGCTTGAGTCCTTGCTTTGGAAGCTTCAACAATACAAGCAAGAGTATCACTGATGGAATTTTTTTTACTCTCTTTTTTTGCACGACGATCAGAGGATGTGGATTTACGACGACTAGGATTATTGTCTTCAACTAGAATATTATCTGAATCATCTTGACCTTTAGCAGTTGAACTAACATTGACACCTGTATTCATAAATTGATCCTCCTGCTCTCGTTCTTCGTTTGTATTAGGCGGATCTTGAGTGGATGCATAGTGAAGTTGCCTAGTAGCAATCGACGTATTAAAAAGAACTCCCAAAAGTTTGTAATTTCACAACCTTTTTTGTGAAAACATTTAGCATTGGGATGAGCCTGTATATATATATATATATATATATATATATATAAAGATTGTTAAGAATAACCATGTTTAAAAATTAAACTAACTATTGTAAAATAATTAATTAAATACATATTTTACCCGCAAATATGTTTGCCAAGTTTCTTCATTAGCAGTCATAGTGTTTGTTTCTGCATCCCAACCATACCCAGTTGTCTCGTTTCGAAGAGTTGAAAACTCACGATGTTTTGTACGTAATTGATTAAATTTTGCCTTTAGTTGCTTCAAATTATAAGCGTGATTAGTCTTGTTTTTGAACTCCTCCGTAATCTTTTTCCAACACTTGGAAGTAAATATCCCAAATGGCATGTTCCCCTTATTAACCTCCTCAACCATTATATCAACAAAACATCTCTCTAATTGTGTAGACCACAGAGCTGACTCCTCAACATCAACAATTTGAGATGCCATCCCTTATTTGTGCATTAGGCAAAGAATTATAAGCAATAAAAGATTTTCACACAACTCAAATATATATCATAGCCATAAAGTTAATCCACCTCTGAACATAATTTCTAATCCAAATTGATATTGCTAATCCAATAGTTAAGAATCAAACAAGCTTTAAATATTTAGAAACACCAGTAAAATATTTAGAAGCTGTACACACACCATTCCAGTCACTGATTTAATTATGGCCTCAGTTTCACACATGTATGATGAGATTCGACCACAATGATGCTGGGAGGTTGGCCTGCTCCACCCAATCTTCATGTACAGTATAGCTCTATATAAATTATTTCTAGATGGGAATTAATGGACCATACATGTGTTGGTAATTAACATACTTTATAACTAAACTATAATATATATATATATATATATATATATATATATATATATTTATGTGTGTATTATAATATAGGGTGATGATTAAGAATGTCTATTTAACTAGACTTGCATGTTGAAGCTTACTCTGTATCTGAAACCTTAGTAGCCTTCATTTTCTCATTTTGTCACTTCTCTTAGTTTCATAAATTCTAATTTGAAGCCAACAATTTCCGAAGCACATCCGGAGGCAATGGACTTTCTTTGGCTTACATTATGCGACTCTGCAACCCAGGATTCCCAACCAGAGAAGTGACTGTATAATATTTTTAATTTATATATATATATATATATATATTGTTGTTTAAAAATAGATAGTAAAAAATTTATATTATAAATGCTATCTCTTTTCTTCTCGAATCTGAAAATTACATTTTGGAATTCAGATTGCTCTCCCTTCGGGACTGTTTGTTTGAGAGAGTGGAAATTGAGGCAAAGGGGACCATATATATATATATATATATATATAGACGAATATATACATACACATATCAAATCCCTAAATTGAAAACCAAATCCCTGAACTGAAAATGAAATCCACAACAAAATTCACACAACCAACAAAGTGCATAATTAAATCTGCAACAAAACTCACACAACAAAAAATGATTGTTGCATATTGTACCACAAACAAAATCAACTAAACCATATCTATTGGTGTTCCTCAACTGTCGAGACCATAATTTAACATCCAAAACCAAGTGATTAGCCAATGTCAAAGGCAAAGATTAAAAAACAATAACAAAGGAAAAAAACATAAAAATCATTTGAAAAATAAATAGACCAAATCTTGAACCAAAGAGATGGAAAGAGGTCAATTTTTTGTAGTCAGATTATGACTTAACACATATGATCACCACTAAAGACATTAAAGAATAACTTATCAAAAAAAAAAAAAAGACATTAAAGAATACAAAATTATCTCACCCATTTGCAGGAAGTGAGAAAGAACAAAAACGAAAAGAGGATGAAAAAGAAAATCAACAATCTTTTTTGATGACAATGAACAAAATTAAACTAATGATGAAAAATAGAAAAAAGAAGAAAAATGGTTACACTAAAGTTGGAGCCTGGAACTCAAGATCGAGCCATCCCGGTTGATTTAGTTTAGAGGTATTGTAATACCCCTAATTTTAAAAGGACAATCTCGGCATTTTATTTATTGTTCTATTTTATTTTGGGTGATTAATTGCGTATTTGCTTAATTATTTAATTGTTTTATTATTTGGTTTGATTTAACTGTTTAATTGTATTTAATAATTATTTAATTGGTGATTTAACTGTTTAATTGTGTATTTAAATTACATTACTTGATTCATTGTTTTAATTGAATTTAAATGTTTTAATTATTTAACGTGGCTTTGTTAATTGGTAGCACACATAGTTATAAGTTAGGTTTTTGTTTTATGGGCCGAGTAAGTCAGCTTAGGGTTTGATATGTTTCACGGTTAGCCGAGTAGTTGTTATTTAGTTTAGGTTTTTGAATCGTGTTAGAAATTAGAATTAGTGTTTCCTTAAACCTATAAATATAAGTAATAAGGTTGCTTAGGGTTTTAGAACCCTATTCACGACTGTGGAGGCAGAGAGAGAACAGAGGAGGATTACAGTAGGAATCACCGGAAAACTTAGGAAGATGACGCTGGGATTTTGAACCGAAATCTCACAGGCAAGTTCTAATCCTAACTCTCCTCCTTTGGCTCATGTTCTTTACATGTCTAATGCAACTCCAGGACTAAATAAAGATTAAAATTAAACTGGATTGCATGTTTGAATGCTTAAAAACTGGTTGTGTTTACAAGATATGTATTGGTCGTTTTAAATTCTTTCTTGTGAAACTCCTGAAGTAATTCATGTAAAATGATGTAATAAGAGTTGAATTAGTCTGTAACACACTGGTAAGCATTAACATTAATCTGGTTTGCATGGTTGATTTATTTAGAATAGTATGTGTTCATGAATCGGTAATTACTTGTTTTAATTCTTTCTTGCATAATTCTTGTGTTGATTGATGTCGGTTAATGAATAATGATTTTTTTAAATCTCTGGAATACATTGGAATTTAGTATTAACCAGTAGGAACCTTAACAATAGAGGACGGAAGGAATGGAGGTCGCCGGAGCTAAAACGGGTGAAAGAAACAAGCAGTGTGGGTTCATGTGAGAAGAGGCGGCTCCCCATAAGGGTGGAGCCGGCTCTAGTGTATGTGGAGGCGGCTCCACTCAAGGCGGAGGTGGCTCCACTCAAGGCGGAGGTGGCTTCCTATGTGGGGGAGGCGGCTCCTCCCATTTTTGATGGATTTTTGGCGCGTTGTTGCTTCTGGGGTTATTTTCTAACCTTCCTGGAGTAATTAAAGGCTATAATTGGGAAATTAGGTAATACCTAAGGTCTTGTTAAAGCTTCAGAGAGCAGGATAATGGATAATGAACCATTTGGGGTTTATAGCTTAAAGCAGTATAAAGTTTTTATATAGTTTAGTATACTGTTTTGGAGGTGGAGGATTTAAATTGCTTAACCTTGTTTGCAGCAATTTTTCTGTAGATGGCATGCTAATGTATTTATTATCATTATTATGCCTATCACGGATTAAAGGATGTTTATACTTATTCTCTGTGCTATAAATTATGCGAGAATCATGTAACAGTGGGATATGACAAGCATGCTAGTTTACAAAATTCTATTATGCTTTGTATGGAATTAATTGAAGAAAACATTTATTTATGTTTCATCAATTATATGGATTCTGTGGATTAGTTGGTAGTTACATTCATTATCTGTACTATCAACTATTGGATGTATGGATTGTATGCACCGGTATGGGACGGTGGCATACTAGATTAGTTTCAAAATACTAAATCCTACCTATACGGAATAAGGGAATGGGTCATAAAACAAACCCTATTTATATTTAAGTCAAAGAAGCTGCACAAGCTGAATGATTAACTGGACTACTTGCTATCTATGTTAAGTCAAAAAAGCTGCATAAGCTGAATGACTAACTGGATTTATTATAGATGGATAGGATGGACTTTAAGTATCTATAATTATGGTACCGCAATCTAAGCTTGAGTCTCAAAGTCGTTGGTTAGGAAGCGTATATGCAGTAGGATGCGTAGTTAGATATGATAGGTCGAGGTATACCCTGTTAGGCTTGGGTACTCATGCTCACTCAGGTGCGTTTTACATGTTGCCTTCGATTTAGGTTGAGACCCCCTGCATAGTCCAGTGAGAGTCTTGTAGTGTGGATATATATATATATATATATGGATTATATAGCTATTGTTGAGTTGGTTAGATTGTATATGCGTATCGAGTCTCTGCTTGAATTGTAGTAGGATAGAACTTGTTCGTGGGCCTGACCCACTTCTATTTTTCAGGTGTTCAACAGTTCCAGTTGTAGGCTTGATCGTGCTGAGCAGAGACTATCACTCACTCTTTCAACGATGTAGGACTTCTCTCCGTGGTTTAGCTTTGGATGTTCTTTCAGTTGTTTACATTTTAGTTTGGATTTTTATTAGGGGTCCACTAGAGATGGATTCCCGAGTTGTTTAAACTGTTGGAGGTTTTGGAAGGATTTGGATTTTATTAATCTTTAATATTTGAGGTTTTTATAATTAGAATTATTTTCAGCTTTAATATTTATTCCTAATTCATTTTGTATTCCGTGTTCATTTTAAATATTAATTGTTTGATATTCCCTCGGGGTTTGGACTTGGGCCTGATCAACCCGTGTCTCGGATTCGAGGGATATCACAGTTTGTATCACAGCACTCCAGGTTCAAGTGTCTCTAGGGTTGTATTTAATAAGACTTTCGCGTTGCGTTTTCTCTTGATTAGAGCTTAAGTTTATGATTCATTGTATTCCTATACGGTCCGTTTAAATCGTACTGATGTCTGTCGTTCTGTGTTAACAGAATGGTTAACGCTAGGAGGGGACGAAACCTACAAGGGAATAGGCAGCAGAGGCGAGCGACATGTAGGCAACAGGAACGCCTACAATGTCAGCTAATGGAGGAGAAGCAGCAAATGCCAGAGTTTCAGGATGATGAGGGTCAGTTTCATGAAGAGCAAGAGGGTGTACAGTAGGCTCAGGATTAGGTCAGAGATTCAGAGTATCCTCCTCACATCAACGACCTCATTGCTCGAGCTATTGAAGCAGGGGTAACAGCTATACTCCAAAATCAGCCACAGGTTCAGCAGGCACCTGTACCAGTACCCGTGGTTCAGGTTGATACTTAGGAAAAGCTAAGAGTTCTTTCACAAAGGGAAGTCCACCTGAAATAGGACATCAAGCGACATCTTCGCCTGGTTCAATGCACGGAGGTTCAGAAGCAGTTGCTTGCTACCTTCAAGCTAGTTAGAGATACACTATAGTGGTGGGAGTCAGTTACCACTGCAGAGGAGATGATGTCATTGACTTAGGATCAGTTCAGTACATATTTTGACGAGAAGTACTTTCCTTATGCAGTCAGGGTAGCTATGAAGATTGAGTTTCTTAATCTGCAGCAGGGAAACATGATAATGGCAGAGTATGAGCAGCAGTTCACACGCTAATCTCTTTTTGCTCCAGAGGAGGTGGGTACAAA